GTACACCTCTCCTTGATATGCCACCCTTATCCCATGGTACACCTCTCCTTGATATGCCACCCTTATTTCTTCATCAAAATATTTCACAAAAATAATTCCATATAGAATTAGACCGTAGTCTATGGAATTATTATCAGTTCAAATTTATCTTTACAAAATTCCCCGTTTATATATAAAAACAAGTCAAAATACAAATCCGGTCAAAATACACTTGGCCGAACTTCATCTCTGGTCAAGTTTTGGCCGATTTACCAAGTCCGTACAACAAATCACCCAAGGCTTGTCCGATTTACTATTAATCTGGTCAACTTTGTCCGGATAACAAATCCGGATGATACTTCACATACTTGTCCGATTTAAAATAAACCAGCCACCTCATAGTCGTATTCCTACTTCTCCGTTCAAAATAATTAACATAAACTCAATGTTAATAAATCGCTCAACACATGTCCGATTTAAGACTAAACCACTTGACTCTTGATCGGTTTAAGTCTAATCCGGACAACACTCACCAAGTGGTTTATTTATAAATCTATTAAGCCTTAACCGGTTTAAGGCTTAAATCGCCCAACCCTTGTCCGGTTTATGGCTAAACCGCTTAACACTTGTCCGGTTTAAGACTAATCCGGACAACACTCCAACGGATAACTTCTAAATCAAAAATAAAGTTCTACAATCAATTATACAGCTATGAAGAGTTTTAAAAAGCAGTACGATTCACTCACCTTAAGAAGCCTTTTGAAAACAGCCTTCTTGCAATTTAAAACAAGAAATCCGGACAACTTATTTCCCTTCTAAATCACTCAAATTTATGAGAATAGCCAAGAAGATGAACTGGGGGGTCAAACCCTCCTTTTATACCCTTTCCCTAAAAGGAAAGGTCGGCCAACACACCTCCTTACAAGCATGGATTTACACTTAATCAAATAACCACACACACACACATATATATATATATATATACACTTATGCACACATGCACATACATGCATGCATATCATACATATATATATATATATGTCATACAAACATCTGCATCCATAATACATATAATCTCATTTATGTATCTACATTATGCATATTTTCACATACTAACATGATCAAATGTATCAATTTATCATGCTGTCACGTAATCAAATATAACAAATAATCACATATTCATTACCTCAGGTGACAACCAAGATCTCAGGTGACAACCAAGATCTGGTTATCACAAATATGTAGATGCTCACTTCGAAGGGCTCTCATTACTACCAGATGTAAGATTTGAGATCTATAGTTGTCTGATAGAGAAACCTCTTTTGCCTCTCTCCTCTTTACTACAAGCAGCCATATTAAAAGCTATAGGACCCTGCCAAAAGAGAGTTTGCTGAGGATCTATTGACATACACCAGCACATTCAATGGAACAATATTCTCTTCGTTTAAAGGAGATATTGTGAAAGAAGCTGGTATGACTTAAACCTATCCTTGTATTATATATAGAACACATGAAACTTTTTTGCATCTAGAGCTGATCAGATCTGATACCTGGATCAGGTGTTGCTTTTGATTACTTGGAATCAGCTCTTTAGAAGTTTGAAGGTTCATTTTTCCTTGGAGAAGTCAGTTTGGTGAGTGCTTTCTTCTCTACACCTAAAATTCCAAGATTCCTTCTTTCCAATTCCCTTCCTCTGAAACAATGAAAGCCAAAAACAGAGTAAAAAATTACCCTTTTTTTATTAATCTTCAAATATTTATTTTTCAAACATACACCCATCATGGAGGCAAATTACCATCTTAGGTCTGCACCTTTCCTCTAGACTCCTTCCCTATAAGGAGTTAGGTTGTTTTTTTAGTACTTTTGCAACAGTATCTTTAAGAAGATTTTATGATTTTCTATTGAAAATTTTTCCTCATTGCAGGTGGGTATATATATTAAGACCATTAAAGATGATTTATTACAATCACATAAATGGTATTGGGGTTTATTTTGTAATAATTATTATGACAAACTTTTTTATTACAATTAAAAGATGTTAAGACCATTAAAGATGATTTATTACAATCACATAAATGGTATTGAGGTTTATTTTTGAACTTTTAATTTACATAATTACATTTATTACAATCAAATAAATGATATTGAGGTTTATTTTTTAACTTTTAATTTACATGATTACATTTAAAGACTATTTATTACAATTAGTAGGCCTATATATATGAATATATGTTTAGTTATATGCATAAAAACAAGTTTTCTTAACATTTGTAGTAAAAGGTACGTTCTGTTGCTTAGATATTCTTAGATTTTAATGGAGTATCTAAAGTTGAAAGATTTGGAAGAAGATAATGAATGTTGGGCTATTAAGCTAAGAGTTTGCCGGTTGTGGGAGTCTTTGAATTCAAAAAAAAATGGAGAACTAATCAGCTTGGATATGGTCTTCATTGATGAAATGGTACGTCCCTTTTAATATCGATCAATGCATGTTCAAATGTTTTATACTAAGATATTCTATGTAGGAGCTTTATGATCACTTGCTTATTTTTCATTTAAATTTCAGGGAACCCTAATGGCTACAACAATTCGGAGGAATTTGGTGTCAAAGTTCAAGCATTTGTTGAAGGAGGGTTTGGTGTATACTGTTAAAAACTTTAAGGTGGTTGTGAATTCTGGAGCTTATAGGGTTGTTAATTCGAAGTTCAAGATCACGTTTACTCTTTTAACAACCATTAAGAGAGAAGATAACAATACACCTTCAATACGATGCACAGATTTCAATATATTAATGAGAAGACGGTTAACACTCGGGTGAATGATGACACTATTCTCACGGGTACGATCTTTTTAAAGTTTTTTACTTCTCCTTAATTTATCGTGTGGTGTTCCTTATTTTATTTCATTGCTTGCTACACCCGGTTGTTCTATTATAAAATATATGTATAGAGAATGTTGGGTGCATAACATAAATTGGTGATATGGAAACTGTTGGTGGGAGTTATACAAAAAGGGATCTTGAAATTATATCAGATTAGTAAGTTTGTTTGATACTTACATATACACTCACTTTTACCAATATTATTATATCATTCAAGTTGACATTCTGTCATCTATCTATGTGTAGCTCGGTTACTTGCAAAGTTACATTGTGGGGAGAACTTGGTGAGAAATTTATGGACGAACACCCGATTGACAATTGGAACTCCCCTTTGATTATTATCGTTACCTCAGTACGCATTAAAAAGTTCTGAGGTACTTCTAATTCTTGCCTAATTGTATATTTCTAGGTGCTCCTGTGATTAATAATAACATATATATCGTTTCTTGTGTTAATTTATAAGGTGTTATCAATTTCTCAACATCAAGTGCAAGCAATATATATGTTAATCTTCCTGACGAATATGTGTCGTCTTTGATTAGTAGGTTTGCAAGTGTATGTCCTCGGGTAAAACTTATGGACCCGGTTTGTGTGGTACCAAAAACAACTGAAGAGGAGATGTTTGATAATAGAATGAGTATCGAACAATTGTTAAGGGCTGACTTGAAAAACGAATCTAAGGTGCAATTTTTTCATCAGTTTTTTATGCCTCAACAAACTACAACAGGTTGTTATACAATTTTTGCTAATTACATATTTTAATCTTCTACATGTAGGGTTATTCTATAACTATCATGGGTGTCATTGACAAATTTGAAACTCATTACGGTTGGTTTTACTTAGCTTGCAAAGGATGTTGAAGAAGGGTTACACCAGTTGATGGTTTTTATAAATGTGGCCCTTGTGATATTGAATCAGACGTCACTTTTACATTGTTAGTTTCCAGTCTTTAAGATTTCTAATGTTCAAAGTCCATGTATTTGCTAACAATTTTTTTTGTTTTAAGGTACAAGCTGCATTTTGTTGTTAAAGACGATACCGGTATGACTACATGCGTTATTCTTCACAAGCTTTCTGAATGAATGGTGGGATCATCGGCAACTTAAACTGTTAAACAAAAGTGATCCGGATTCTGATGAGTTTCCTCGTGAAATCCTTCAACTTTGTGGTAAAAAATACATCTTCAAAATCGTTTTGACAGATTACAACATTAAACGGGGGAGTGACAAGTTTTTGGTTCATAATGTGTTTGAACCAAATGAAAATATGGAGAAATCATATTTGTCTACTGGCAGAGGAAAGGTCAGTTCATCTTTAACACTAAAAGATTATGTAGTCAATTTTTATACTGACCATAGGTGTGATGTAATTGAAAATAGAAAACATATGCGACCGCAAGTGGAACCACCAGCAAAGGAGTTTCAACAAAGGTAAAACACTTTTCGTGTTTCATTCTTAACTCATATTGTTCAATTAATTACATATAGACTCTAATGATATTGATATTGATTAACCCTACGAATTTCAATAGAATGATGCTTCGTTGCTTGATGAGTTGGATGATGAAATTGAAGATCAACAGTCTTCGGTCAGTATCTCCGCCACAAAACGAAGAAAGATTATCATTGATGATGAAAATGAGTCGAGTGGCGGTGCGACATCTTGATCCATGCTATTGAAAGTTTGATCTCATAAAACATCAATTGTTTTGAAAAATTCTATATGTTTGATGATTATATTAGGGTTTTGTTTCAAAAATCTTATTACTTCATATAATAAATCTATAATCTTTGATGATTCTAATTCGGATTTTTTTTTGAGGAGGATACATTGGTTCTTCGATACTTTTTCAAGATTCTTAGGTGGCATATGTGTAGTTGAGTGTTAAATAAGTTTAGAAATGGGTATTTATGAACACTAGGAATTGATACTTGCAGCTCTTGGGGACTGAGTTTTATGGCACCTACTTTTCCTATAGAGTTTGCTGGACAGAGAGTTCCAAAGAATTTATCACAAATGAAATTCACTCGAATGATGGGAAAAACGAGGAGTTTTTCTAAGGGTTACTCTTATGGGTTTGTTCCAGACTACCGTCATGCCGTTGAGACCATGGCTGATATTTCGTAGTTGAAGCATATGCTCATTCGTTATTCACTTTTGTTTGGTTAAGGTATAAAAACACTGTTACAAGCCCCTTAAAGCCATAATTCAATCTTCTTGTAAACTACAAAGTTGTAGTAGATAAATAGATATTTTTATAGGTGTATCGTACACCTCAATTAGAACAATGAGTGATTTTATATAAATTTTGTAAACAGTCTAAACTTTCTATTCATTTCCAACAACAATGAATTCTATCAATTGTAACCAACCTACTCTAAACCATTGTAGTCCTTCCCAATAACCAACTTCATCAAAATATTTAATAGGTTCAAAAAGGAACCTTTGCCAAAAAATCAACAAATCTTCATCTTCATTCTACACAACATCTAGACGCAAATGCAAGCCTCTAATCCAACCTTTATTTTTACGTAACCATTAGAAGTACAATATCACGGCTAGAAGTATTAGAAAAGAAGTTAAGAAATCATATTAATATAAAAAAGATACCAGATAGCATATCTCGATATGCCCATGTCCTACAGTTAGTGTACCAAGGATCCTGATCTCATATATAGAATGTCAAAGCAGTTTGTAATATGACAAACAGAGAAAATAATACCCGTAATGCTACTTCATATGTGATAATGCGCAATTAAAAAACCATTTGAAGGCTTTAATGAAAATAAGACCACATGAAAATGACATGGATGAGCAAACAAATAAGTGAATAAGGCTGATTTTATTAGTAGCATAATTTTTTTTAAGAAATGGTCAAATACATGGACTACTTGGTGATGAGATAAGACAAAAACACACACCATGGTGAATTAGGATTTAGGAAATCGTTTCTATTGATATCAAATTGATTTTTCTAATACAATCAAAATGCATTTAGTTCTTATTTCATCTTCTACTATAAATATACAAAAGATTTACAACCTTTATCTTAAATTTTTTGATTTAGATTAAATGAAAATGATATTATTAATATGAATATAATCAACATAGTAAAGTGATTAGATTTTTTTAATCTCAATATATCATAAAATGCTGAAAAAGATCAAGAATTATAATGATAATCACATTATAATTAAATTCAAATAATATCTTTAAATGATCTCTCTTCCTTCTCCATTCTCCTATTTCCAGTCTCTTCCCAATCTCTTCCCAGTCTCTGGTTGTCACAATCTTCCCACCCTCTCTCCATCTCCATCAAGGTATGTATTATGTTCCCGCAATTTTAAACAATGAATCTTATGGTAACTTTGTCACGATCTTCCCNCATCAAGGTATGTATTATGTTCCCGCAATTTTAAACAATGAATCTTATGGTAACTTTGTCACGATCTTCCCACCCTCTCTCCATCTCCATCAAGGCATGTATTAAGTTCCCGCAATTTTAAAAAATGAATCTTATGGTAACTTTGTCATGACCTTCCCACCCTCTCTCCATCTCCATCAAGGTATGTATTATGTTCCCGTAATTCTAAAAAATGAATCTTATGGTAACTTTTCCACAACCAGTATATTAATTGAAACACATGCACTCGTAGTTAAATACACACACATTCATAAACGACATAAGCAATTTACGACTCTTAGGCTTGTATCAAAATCACCTTAGAGATGGCACATGATGCATTTTATATTATCTTGCCAACAATCATAGAAATATATCATGCAAATAGTGAAGGTAATTAACATGTTAACCATGAAATCTCATAAATCATATGTGATGTATCACTATTACAGACTCTTTTAACATGAGATACTTGACTGTCTATTTTCTCTACCAACTAGAATCATGTCTTTGTTATTAAAATGAATAAACAAGAAAACATACTACATTTGGGGATTTATGCGACTTAAGAAACATGGTATGGATATTCAAAGGAAGATACAAATAGAGAAATATAACTGGAAACCATTATCACAATAGACCAGAGATGTCAAAGCCACATCCAATCTAAGATCAAGTCATATACTCTTATATCCATCTTTTGCTCCTAAAAAATAAATCCTTGAAATAATGATAAGCTACATATGTGTATGCCCGCAAAAATGTATGGTATCATGATGTTTAGCACACATCGTGTTGGAACCCAGATTCTCTTAATATCAGAAAACACAGTTGAATGAATATGAATGGAATAAAAATAGTGTAACTGAAAGGTCAAACGAAGTATTCAGTAACGATAAGAACACAATATATAACTTTGAATACGTTGGATGCTTTTATTATATGAGAAGAAAACAATAAGAAACTCTCAATCTAATTTGTATTCTCACAAGTTTTGGCCATAGTCTAAGTCGGCACTATCAGGTATTTGTAACCTGAGGAGGATGCCTCCTTATATATGCCTAAGCTAAACATAATTTGCTAGAATCTTGGCTTGAATCTCTGAGCGATTATTCCGCATCCTTATCGTTGTCAACCCTTGAATAGTGGAGCGGACTAAGTCAAGCCGCCTTGATTCTGGTATACGCTTGCGTGAATGTCTGAACTAAGCGCGCTTTCCATGAAGGTAGGACACACAGAGGCTCTGCATGTACTATGCAGAGGTTCCGTGTCTGGAGTGTAGCTCTGTACCAAGCACTTAAGCTTTTTGGCGCTTAAGGCTTGATCTTCCACGGAATAGAGCGTGGGCTCTGTATGTGAGACGCTTGGCTCTTTGAGTAAGAGCTCTGTCTCTTGATCTCTTCTGCATGAGAGCTCTTAGTCCAGACAGCTTCAAAAGACTAAGTGCTACTGTCTAGAGTAAGAGGCTTTTTACTTACACTTTTACAAGATGGGGTCTAACACATCGTACATTTTCAAGAAGCAACTTTTAAAGTAAATAACAAAAATTATAAATAAGGCCCATCAACACACCTAATAACCATAAAATTAGGTTTCATTGTCTTTAACCATTAGATATAAAATGCTCTCCTCATATGGTAATACATATTATTTAGGGAATTTTTATTTCAGCCTATTCACATATATGTACATATTCTTAGTTAAAGTACAAATGATATACTAACCGTTACATATTTAAAGAAAGTAGAGTAGACTCATTGTAGGACAATTTTGATAGAAATCATATGGATTTATTCTAAAGAGTCACAGTTTGTCACTATAGGGATTGTCTTAATTTTTAGTTTGATTGTCGTATGAACTTATGCTTCATTTTGAGATTATTATTTTTTGCAAGTGTCATCTAATTATACTCATTTCGACTTTAGATTATAGATCCTATATATAATAAGATGTTAATAATAATGTTTATTAAAGGTAATGGAACTTGCTAATGAAGAACGTAACATTCGACGACGACTTGCATATATGGCACGTTATGGGAGACGAGAAAGGTTGACATTCAAACGTGCTACTAGATCATCTGATGCACACCAATATGTGTATGCATTGAATATTTTGAGAAAAGAGATATTCAAGCATGCAAGATTCCAAAGAAAAATTTCCATCATTAATAAGCGATTCAAGACCCATCCACACTTGAAATTTGCATATATGGATACATTTATCACATCAATGCTCATACATTGGAACTCTAATGGTATGTAAGTTGTTTTAAGATAATTTCTGATTCACATTATGAATGCAATTTGATGACCATTTCATGCACAAATTACTAATGTTTCAAGTAATATTTTTTTATCTTCCATAATATTAATGCTTAGTATAAGCAACTTATGCAGCAAAGACATTCAATATAATTAAAGAAAGATGAATTTCTGATGCCATCACAAATATATCTACAAGTCCGATACTTAACAATGACAAGGGTGATGGCACGCAAATTATTTTGATAAATATTTTATCTATACATTATAAAATTTTAAAGTAAATAATTCATCTATGTTTACAACAATATCAGGTCCGAGTGGTTCAAGGCTCTCAAATTCAGGTTCCTACACTTATGTGCAACGCAACAAATCTAAGGACCAAGGTAAATGATGTTATTATCCTTTGTTACAATCATTTCCTATAGTCGTGTATATCAATACTAATTCCAAACTACATGGACTTTCAACTATTAGTGCCACTTGCGATTCCATGGAACTTCGGGAAGCCAAATCATAAATGCAAATATTGTGGCACCATTATATGGTATGAAGAACGAAACCAAAAGACCAACAAAACCTCTGATCCAACATTCATATTTTGTTGTTCAGAAGGTCGTGTAAGATTTCCGTTACTTCCGCAGCCACCAAGGACACTTCAAAATCTTCTCGCCCCCACATTTGGAAGTAAAGGTGTAGCTTTTCGTAGAGAAATACGAACATATAATTCTATGTTCGCATTGACATCACTCGGATGCCGAATTGATTCTACTATTAATCACGTGAAAGGGCCATATGTTTATAGAGTGAATGGACAAAATTTACATCGAATTGGATCTCTATTGCCTATAACTGGCAAAAGGCCTCAATTTTCCCAACTCTATATCTATGACACCAAGAATGAAATGACCAATAGGGTGATGCAATGCAAAGGCAGTTTGGCCATACCGATCTCAATTCAGAGATAGCACAAGAACTATCTGAAATGTTAGAAGAGCACAACATTTTAGTAAAGTTGTTTCACATGGCTAGAGATCGATATCGTTCAGATCCTGATTCTGCTTTTCGCTTACGAATCAACCAAAGTCGTAAAAGGGATGGTCGTCAATATAATATGCCCACCACTGAAGAAGTTGTTGGTTTAATAGTTGGTGATCGTAGTGAAGAAAAATTTGAGCGTGATATCATTGTTGAACATTGTACAAATGGTTTTCAATGCATTACAGATCTACATCAAAGTTTCATGTCCATGACATACCCTTTGATACACCCTTACGGGGAAGATGGGTATTGAGAAAATATTCAACTACAAAACATGACTGGATCTTCCAGCAAAAGACAATTTGTCATGATGAGATAATATTATTGCTTTAGATTACAACAAAGGGTACATGAAGGCCACACTTTACTACACTCTGGACGATTGCTTCAACAATATATTGTAGATGCTTATATGGCAATTGAAGAAGGTCATTTTAGGTGGATATGTAACAATCAAGAACAGTTACGAACTGACTTATATTATGGATTAATGGATGTTGTACACCACGGAGATACAGATAGTAAGAAATTGGGTAGATCAATTATATTACCATCCACTCATACTGGCGAATCTCGATATAGAATCCAGAATTACCAAGACGCTATGGCACTTTGTAAGTGGGCTGGATATCCAAATCTATTTCTGACATTTACATGCAACCCAAATGGCCAGAGATAACAAACACACTCGACATGGTACATCAAAAGGATGATCCAAATAGAGTAGATATTGTATGCAGAGTGTTTGAGATGAAGCTTAAACAGTTGATGCTAGACATGAAAACTACCAAAATACTTGGTAGCATAATCGCCTGTAAGTTAAATAACACAAAACAATTTTTTTTGTTGGAAATATGCATACCATTAACAACTAAATGTGGTTTCATGATTTTTCAGGTATTTATACTATCGAGTTCCAAAAGAGAGGCTTGCCGCATGCACATATATTATTATTTTTGGATTCCAAATCCAAAATCCCGTCGGCTGAACATATCGATAGAATCATTACTACAAAGATTCTAGATGCAAATATTGATCCTAGTGGTGTTAACGCTGTGAACAAATTTATGATTCATGGTCCATGTGGAGATCTCTACCCATCATCCCCACGTATGGTGCAAGGTATTTGTTCCAAAAATATCCCTAAGAAATTTATTTGACAAACATCAATCGACTTAGATGGATTTTCAGTATACAGGAGAAGAGATACAGGTGCTTATGTTACCAAAAAAAACCCATCAATTGGACAACAGGTACGTTTTTCCTCACAATAGAAATTTGATTGTGAAGTTTGATGCCTACATCAATGTCGAAGTTTGCAATCATTCAAGAGCAGTAAAATATCTCTTCAAATATATTCACAAAGAATTTGATAGAGCAACTGCTACATTTCACTCGATAGATACAAGTCTTGAAAGRGATGAAATTAAAACATATTTAGATTGCAGATACATATCTGCATCTGAAGCATGTTGGCGTATCTTCCAATTCAATATCCATTATAGATATCCATCAGTTGAGCGATTACCTTTTCATCTACCTGGTGAACATATGATTACATTTAAAGAGAACACTAATCTTGAGGCAGTTATTGCAAGACCAGGTGTTGGGAAAACTAAGTTCACCGAATGGTTTGATACAAACAAAAAATAAGAAGATGCTCGACAATTGATTTATTCATCATTCCCAACGGAATGGGTTTAGAATTCTAAGGACAAGGTGTGTACTAGACGCAAAAAGGGCATTTCAATCGGTAGGACGTACTTCACTCATCCATCTGCTGGAGAAAGATTTTACATGTGTATACTATTAAACTTTGTCAAAGGATGCACTTCATTTGAAGACATACGCACAGTAGATGGATTTATGCTCCCTACTTACAAGGGAGCATGTTATGCACACGAATTATTAGATGATGATAGTGAATGGATTGATTGTTTGGAAGAAGCATCAAGTTGTGCTACTGGATACGAGTTACGACATTTGTTTGTGACAATCCTCACCCATTGTCAGGTTTCAGACACTCTTCGTTTATGGAATACACATTATGAAATACTCTCCAAAGATATAGCTATCATATAGCACAAACGGATCAAGGTCAACAACTTGAAATTGACTGCCTCAGAACTTGAAGCATATACTTTGTTCGAAATAGAGTCAACCATGGTGAAAATAGGGAAGAGTTTGAAAGAAATTGATGGAATGCCACTTCCAAATCAACAATTACTACTCGAGTTACGAAATAGGTTGGTAAATGAAGAACTCGACTACAATCGTGAAGATTTCAGAGTTGTTCATGATACCAATTTCCCGTTGCTCAACCAATGTCAAAGCGAGGCTTATGAAGTTATTATGGATTCTGTTTACGAAAATCGTGGTCACTTGATATTCATCCATGGTCGTGCTGGGAACAGGGAAAACATTTCTTTGGAAAATAGTTGTTGCAAGACTTAGATCTGAGGGAAAAATTGTATTACTTGTAGCCTCTTCTGGTATCGCAACATTGTTATTGCCAAATGGGAGGACTACTCATTCTAGATTCCGTATACCTTTAGATGTAACTGCAAAATCAACATGTGAGATCCGTCATGGCACACAATTAGCTGAATTGCTTCAAAACAATTCTTTGATTATTTGGGATGAGGCTCCTATGGCACACATATATTGCTTTGAAGCTTTAGACAAGAGTCTACACAACATACTAAGCACCCGTTATGAAGATAGCAAATCAAGGCCATTTGGTGGTCTAACAGTCGTTTGTGGTGGTGATTTTCGTCAAATCTTGCTAGTCATTCCTAGAGGTACTCAATTGGATATTGTTAATGCATCACTTAATTCTTCATATTTGTGGCCTTTGTTTCGAGTGTACGAGCTTAACCAAAACATGCGCCTTCTACATAAAAGTGTGTCTCCCTCTTAAGTCCTTCACATCAAAACATTTGATGATTGGATGTTACAAATAGGCGATGGATCGTATTATGATAATTTTGAGGATGAAATGCTCAAGCTTCCTTCAGACATTTGTTTAGAACAATCTGAACACCCGATACAATCCATACTTGAAGCAGTTTATCCCTCACTATTGGATAATTACAAAGATCCTTCGTATCTTACAGAAAGAGCTATTTTAACTCCAAAAAATGATATGGTGCAAGAATTAAATGAATGCATCGTGGATATAATACCGGGAGAAGGAAGGACATACCTTAGTTCTGACAATGTTTGCAAAGGCAATGTGCAATCTAATGATGAACACCTTCTTTATCCAACTGAATTTCTAAGTAGTTTGAGATTTTGGTAGGATACCAAATCATGACATTCATCTTAAGGTTGGTGCTCCAGTTTTGCTTTTGCGTAACATTAATCAAACAGAAGGGTTGTGTAATGGAACACGATTGATTGTCACATTACTTAGGAAATGGTCTGTTAGAGAAGATATAATTTCTGGAAGTCATACAGGCAAGGATGTTACAATCCCAAGAATCATAATGTCACCAAGCGACTCAAAATGGCCATTCAAGCTTAATCGCCGCCAAATACCATTAGCACCATGATTCACCATGACAATAAATAAGAGTCAAGGCCAATCGCTTAAACATGTTGGACTTTTCCTCCCAAAACAAGTAAATCCTAAACTTTGTTCCTATTACATTTTTTATATTACATGGTTTACAATATAATCAACCATAATCCTCATCATGATTTTTCATAGGTTTTTACACATGGACAACTATATGTTGTGGTGTCTCGAGTTACATCACGTGAAGGGCTAATCGTACTTAATGCTGATGAAGAAAGTGAGGATCATAACATGATAAACAATATAGTTTATCATGAAGTTTTTAACAACGTCTCTCCAGCCAATTACAATTGAATAATGGTAAAAATCTATGAAACTTATTATAAATTCTTTGAATATTTATATTATTTCATTTACTCATTTTTTTCAACGGTAATTAATATTAACTAATATTGTTTGTTTTTCAGTTGCTAAAACCTTGAAGTTAAATTATAATGCAAGATGCACATTTTAATTTTGGTATTCACTTGGATTATTCGAATAACACTTCATGTCATATAATTTAATTTTGTTTTTTTAAGTTTTTCATCACTACACTTTCAATGTTATTTTGGTGATTGGTATTACATGATTTAAATAGAATTGTATACGTGTGTATTTATATTCTTATAATAAAATTAGTTATATCATAGTTCTCTATGATAATCAAATATTATTGTACATGGTTAATAAAGATAATATATGATTTTTA